TGGAGGACGTTGCTTCAGTGGCCCAAGTTGGCACCATCATTGCGCTCTTCCCGGGCGAGGCAGATCAGTCGCCGGCTTCTGGATGGCTGCTCACTGCAGCTGCTGGCTGCTCACGCTGGCTGCTGGCTACACACGGTAGATGGCAACCCACTGCCACACAGGCTGCAGCCTACGCCGTCGCTGGTGACTCACGGCAGCCCAGCTCCAGGTTGAGCTGTTGTTCAGCATCTTAGCTGTGGAGGGCAGTGTCACTGGCCCTCATTTGTGGGATCCGAACCGGGGTCCTCTGGCGTCTCAAGCCAGTTCTTAACTATTGCACCACTCAGCCGGCCCCCTTTAATTCTTTGATTATCTTTACGGGAGTTATCTTAAAGTCTTTGTCTAGTAGATCTGTCATCAGGTCTTTTTCAGGGGCAGTTTCTGTTGATTTAGTTTTTTTCCTTTGAATGGGCCATACTTTCCTGTTTTTTCCTATGCCTTTTTCTTTTTTGTTGAACATTGGAAATCTGAATCTAATAATATGGCAGCTCTGGAAATCAGATTTTCTGCCTGCCTTATGGTTTGCTATTTTTTTCCTTATTGCTTTTGTTCATTTGGGGAGGAGGTTTGAGTTTGTAGGGCATCTTTGTGCTGAAGATCAGCCTGAGGTGTAACTTAAGGTCTTTTCTGAGCCTTTCCCAGGACATGCATGGTCACTTTCTAATTTTCTCTGAATATGGAATTGTTTTTGAATGTCCTACTCTTTAATAAATGGCTTCCAAAAGGGGCAAAAGCAAAAAAAAAAAAATAATGGGGGAGGGAAGAGTGTTGGTCTTTTAAATCCCCTGGGAGTTGTTTTGGCCAGAGGGGGAGTGGTGGGTTTACAACAATGGAGGGAGGTACAGCAACAGGGGCTGCCTGCCATTTGGTATATACCCCTGCGATCAGAAGAAACAAACAGTGATCATAGCACAGATCCCCAATATTTGGAGGATAGAGTCCTTTTTGCCCATTCTGGCTTCCTTAAAGTGTGGGCAAGCTACTCCAGAAATAGGTGCACAGCTACCTGCTACATGGCTGAGGGTGGGCGATGGATAGTTTCTACTGTGCTAAGAACTGAAATTGATGAAAATTAACCCCAGTTTACAGTCCAAGTCTTACCCTGGAAGTTGCAAGCCTTCAAGAGACACCGGAGTTGCAAAATAGTTACATCAGGCAGATTCTACCAGTGTAGTTGTCATTTAGGTAGGGAGATAGATTCCTGGTGCTTCCTACTCTGCAATCATCCTGGAATTCTCTTTTTTTTTAAGGCTAAATATTTCATTGTATGTGTATACCACATTTTCTTTATCAGTTCATTGGTAGATGGACCCTTGGGTTGCTTTCATATCTTGGTTATTTGAATAATGCTGCAGTGAACATGGGAGTGCAGATTATCTCCTGAGATCCTGTTTGCGTGACTCTTGAATGAAGGTTTTAAAATCTTATGTTTCCTGATGGTAATTATTATCAATCTCATGTTAGAGTAGCCTCTTGCTTATGGGCTATGCAGTGTCACAGCAAGCACAGTGTACTCATTTCATTGTTTTTTTCCATTTGATAAATTACCTGAAGTGAAGAGATACCATTTGTTTCATTCTAGGCATGCCAAGCTGCCAGGAAAACAAAAGCAGATGACCGGGGAGTAGATGCAAACACTTCGGAGCAGACAATCCTCAATATGATTTCCCAGAGCTCTTCAGACACAACTATTGCAGGCTTAATGAGCATGTCAACGTCTTCTACCACAAGTGCAGTGCCTTCCCTTCCAGCTACTGAAGAGTCATCCAGCAACTTAAGCAGTGTGGAGATGTTACAGGGCGAGCGTTGGCTATCCTCCCAACCTCCTTTTAAAATAGAACCTGCTCAGGGTCATCGGACTAGTGAGAATATAGCACTTACAGGAGTTGATCATTTCTTGCAACAGGATGGTTCAAATGCAATTATTTCCCAGAAGCAGACTAGTAAGAGTGTGCCATCAGCTAAAGTATCACTGAAAGAATACCGTGCAAAGCATGCAGAAGAGTTGGCTGCTCAGAAGAGGCAACTAGAGAACATGGAGGCCAATGTGAAGTCACAGTATGCATATGCTGCCCAGAATCTCCTCTCTCAACATGATAGCCATTCTTCGGTCATTCTGAAAATGCCCATAGAGGGCTCAGAAAACCCAGAGCGGCCTTTTCTGGAAAAGCCTGACAAAACAGCTCTCAAAATGAGAATCCCAGTGGCAAGTGGAGATAAAGCTGCCTCTTCAAAACCGGATGAGATAAAAATGCGCATTAAAGTCCATGCTGCAGCTGACAAGCACAATTCTGTAGATGACAGTGTTACAAAGAGTCGAGAGCACAAAGACAAGCACAAGACTCATCCATCTAATCATCATCATCATCACAATCACCACTCACACAAGCATTCTCACTCACAGCTTCCAGCTGGTTCTGGGAACAAACGTCAGGGTGATCCGAAACATAGTAGCCAGACAAGTGCTTTAGCACACAAAACCTATAGCTTGTCTAGTTCGTTCTCCTCTTCCAGTTCTACTCGTAAAAGGGGTCCCCCTGAAGATACTGGAGGGGCAATGTTTGATCATCCAGCCAAGATTGCCAAGAGTACTAAATCCTCTTCCATAAATTTCTTCCCTCCTCTTCCTACAATGGCCCAGTTGCCTGGACATAGCTCAGACACAAGTGGCCTTCATTTTTCACAGCCCAGCTGTAAATCTCGAGTTGCTCATATGAAACTGGATAAAGGTCCCACGGGGGCCAATGGTCACAACACAACCCAGACAATAGACTATCAAGATACTGTGAATATGCTTCACTCCCTTCTCAATGCCCAGGGTGTTCAGCCCACTCAGCCCCCTGCGTTTGAATTTGTTCATTCTTATGGTGAATATCTAAATCCACGGGCTGGTGGAATGTCCTCCAGATCTGGCAATACAGACAAACCCCGACTACCACCTCTACCTTCAGAACCTCCTCCACCCCTTCCACCCCTTCCTAAGTAAAAAAAAAAAAAAAAAAAAAGAGGAGAAAAAACTTCTTTAAAAACACTTTTTTTTAAAAAAACAAAACTACTGATTCTGGACTAAGAAAATTACTTCCCTAATGAAATATGTCTCCCTTCTTCGACTAGGGAATAAATTAATATTGAGACATAGATAGGAGGATGGTAGATGGCCTTGGTGGTTATATCTGCTGCCTCAGAAATTTAACTATTTTATTATAGTTTTTACTGGTATTAGAGATGTGAGAATGTGATGAAGCTGTGAAAGATTAAGAATACTTTCTCTATTCTTGGCCTCTCTGCCTCCTAATTAGGTTGATTAGAGTTGATGTCTTCCCTCTTCTTGCCAGGACTGAAGTATGGAGGGTTTGTTCTATCAAACAGTTGTGGATCCTTTTGGTGTTTAATATATCAGAAGAGAGGAAGTATTTAAACGTCAAAATCTTTTAAGAGACTTAAAAAAAATAATTTAAACAAAGTAAGTTATCTTAGTTTTTTTATATATATAATTGGGGAGGGGATAGGGATTTTGCTGTGTGTATGCGATACATAGCAATGAGTCCTGGGGGGTGGGACTAAAGGGTGGGGGGGTGCGTAGGACGATGGGAGGGTAAGCTTTCGGCCATGAGATCTGAGATAGGCTTTGGCCACTTGAAGTGTTGACACCTTTAAGTGTGTATGAAAGTGTGGGTATGTATGTTTTTAAGTGTGTGTGTTTAAAAATCATGTTGTATCTTTCCCTTGTCCCTCACCATTCACTTCCCAACGGTCTACTAGAGAGAACATGGTGTGGCCTTTAGAACATGAAGGAAGAGGCATGCATTTGACATGGTATTTTCCCCTTTCTTTATGCTGTAATTGAATGGTAGCCTTCTAAATTCTAGTTTGGGCAAGTGCAGCCAATGCCCTGACTCTGGACTCCATTATAAAAACTTCCTCCCCCCCCTTTTATCATTTTTGCAGAACAAAGGTGGGGTTGAGGAAAAAGGGTTGGAGAGCAAGGCTGGCTTCTGCCCTACAGAATTGGGTGTGTCTTTTTTCAAGTTGGGCTTTGGGAAAGTGTTCAAGTGAGAGCAGTCTCAGGGTCTCTGATGGAAAGGGGTATGTGCTATATATCCTGCCTGTGAAAGCCCAGACCATGTGGGAATTGTTCTGGAGAAGTCATAGAGCTAGAGAATCCTGAAAACAATGAAATTGTGATTGGGGATTTTTAGGACATTGTATTTTAAATTATATTATAAATGTGAGACTTGCTTTTCGTCTGTATATCTGAAGGCAAACAGCTGTATCCTCAGTTTTTGCAGCCTAGATGGCTTGAGATTGGAGCTTGTGAATTTAATAGCCATGAGGGTGAGCAAGCCTAGCCCAGAGATAACTATTATGTTTAGATTGTCCATATTTGGTAGCTTTAGATTCTAGGCAGAGGTTGTTCACGGAGATTTCTAAGAATCCTTAAAACAAAAAATGGATCAGGTGTCCTGTTCTTATGGGTACTTGATTATCACAGATTTTAGGAGTGAACGTTTTTGTTGAGGAAAGAAATCTTTTAAGGGGCTGGAATAATTCAAGCCAAGTTGTGTCAGTGAAAATGCCACCTAGCCACGGATCATTTGATGTGATACTCTTAGGTCTTCATGGCAGTTTTTGCTACGGAAAAAATGATGCAGTTTGAATTTGTCTTGTTTTTAATGCAGCTCCCTTCACATCAAATATTCTTCATGGACAAGTTGAAATTCTTTTCATTGGAAGTCATAGGGTATCAGGAGTTGTACATGTGCTGCTGCTTTCCAGGAACAGGTTGGGGAGAACATTGTATCAGTTGGCATTGATGATGCACTGGCCTAATACAGGAAGGAATTTGTACAGTAAACCCTAACTGAAGGTAAATATGCATCTTTGCATATTTGAACTGTCTAGAGTACCTGCCATTGCTGTGCAAAATGGGCTCTCTGCTGACCTATAAACTAGCATTATTTTGGACTTGGAATATCACCTCACTTATATAGATGACATTTTTCTCTTTCTCCTTGACAGTTTCTGTGTTGTGCTAGATAATTGGTAGGTGTGTGGTGTCTTTACTAAGTATAGGCTGTCTCTTTGTTTAGGTTTTGTTTGGTGGAGTCTGCTTTCCTTCCTGACCTTCCCAGAAGGTTATTTAGCTTGCATCTGTATCTTTGTGGAATTGATGATCACTGATTTGATTATGAAAATGTCTTTTCCAGCTTTTAATTTTTTTCATCACGTCACATATTTTCTAATTACATGCACTCCCTCACCACACAGACATACATATCATCTTGGCCTAATTAGTAGTTTTCTCCATAGCAGTCTAGTTAGTGCCTTAGAACTTTGTCAGGAGTGAACTAGAAAAAAGTGCTTACTAGAGCCTAAAAGCTGCTTTATACTGTATAGTCTGGCCTTTGTGCTAGTAGATCATTGCTGGTATAAGTCAATTTAGAGAAATTTTTATATTAATGCCTCCTGATGCTGTTTTAAGGTATCTACAGTGTCTGCTTGTAGATCTGTGTATACATCATGAACTCCTTATTTGCTCTGCATGAAGCTGCTGCACTGTTTTTGGCTTAGCAGACATGCCTGTCAGCTAGCATGCATATTGTCCAGATTCCCATAAACTTAGGCTTCAAAGAGCTGTGTGGGTTCTAAACTCTGTGTCTTCTCTACCCTCATGCCTTCAAAGGGTGAGAAATGGGATTTATACATTCAAAGTTAGTCTAGTAAACATGACTTTTTATTCTTTTAACATAAGAGTATCAAGGATACATGGTGGTAAGCAGGCCTGGAGCCTCAAATTCTATAAATCTCATTCCTAAACTTCGCTTGAATCTCATGTTGGCAAAAACAAAACCTGTGGATTGACTTTTGGGCTTTTAATCAGATACTTATGTTGCACTTAGCTGAACTCTAGTGAAGCATTAACCTAAAGCTAATTGGTCTTCTGAAGTATCAGTTATGCTCTTTGGGTTTTGAAAATATGTAGGAATGAGCTTAGTCTTCTCACTCGTGAATCAGTGTGTTTCCATTTGAGATCCTCAGCTTGCTGCTGCTTTTTAAAAACGATTTTAGTGTTTTGATGTAATGTGTTCTTTTTCATGGTTCTGTATTATTGGCTTCACCAGTGTTGATAGGAAAAATTTAAATCTCCAGTTGGAAACAGCAATGGATTAGGATATAAAAATAAAATCATGGTAATATTAGTGCTGGATTTCCTTAAGCCTCTGCTACCCAATTCCCCATATTGAAAATGTGTACCCCTATACCTTGCTTCTGGACAAAGGCAATTAGAGGGGTCTTACTTATCCCAGTATGGTTGGATTTTAAACATCTGTGTTTCCCACAGAAACAGGAACTGTGGAAACTTGGGAAATGATCACTTTTTTAAAAAGGATTATTCTTTTGTTGATGAGTTATTTTGATACTAATGCTAGGAAAATGGAGATTCTAGAACATCTTGAAGTTGGAATACAACGGTTATTCTATTGGGTTTGGGAGAATTCAAGCAGTCTATGCAACCCTTCACATGGTGAGAAATAAGCCCTCTGCAATCCCAATAAGCTTTCAGTGACTTTGATACCTCCCCAAATTTCTTGTATTGCTGCTTGTTAACACCCAGCTTTTAACTCAGTATTTGCTCCTGATGGTTTAAGAAATGTTCATGTGGTATCACACTGTCAAGTTTAATTTTGTCTTTTTATCCCTCTGTGGATGTGATTGAAACAAGCATGGTACCAATGATAGAATGGTCTAGAATGAGAATTATTTTTTAGTGAGAGACCCATTTTAATGTTTCTAAAGTTTTTAATATGAACTTGGCATTGGAAAAGCGGGGGGAAAGAAAAAGAATGTTTATTGAAAAGCAGTGTCTATTTTTCCCCTTTATGAGTGTGTATTCATGGTTGAATGAAAAGAACAGAAAGACTCTTGGATTTTCTGTTACCATGTTAAGTGTGGAGAGGGATGCTTGACAGCATGCTAATTGTAGCCAGAGCAAGTATGTCTCCATCAGGTGTTCAGGAAGTCTTCAGTTGAAAGCTGAGGACCTGACTGATTAGTGATTGATTACATTGGAATTGATTACAAGATGGAGGTGCTGGCTGGGTTAAGCACCTAAAGGAAAGAATGCAGCAGCCTAACTTAGTGAGTGTTAACCTAGGTTTCTGGATTTGAAACTGACCTTTCCCCCACCTTACTCCACACACCTAAAATTGTCCGTTTTCTTATCAGACCAAAGAGCAAAGAACGAAAAAAAAAATGTAAAACACTTTACCAATCTATGTCACTCAGGTACAATTTTGTGGTGATACTTTTGTCTGTTTTCTTTGTATTGCTCCTAAGAGTCCTTTCTCAGCATATTCTGCTGTTGCCTCTGTCCTCCTTGGGGCATCTTAGTTCTGGATGCCACCCCTGGTATCTCTACTGCTGTTATGTGAATGATAGGATGTAAGTGACCATTACAGTAAGGGCTCTTTGTAAAAAATTCAAAAAATTTTTTAAAAAATATAAAGGATGTTGTATACATTTTATAGTCTGGCTATCAGTTTGATAACTTGCTGTCAAGTATGTTTCTCAATCTGTATTTATCCATCCCATCAATAAATGTTAATTATAAAACATCCATCTGATTGTTCATGTGTACTAAGTCTTCAAATTATTTTTTAACTGCCGTTTTGTTGCTATGATTATAGTTTTGTTTTAGTTTTGATAGTAGTATGTACTTACTGCATAAGATCCTGTGGGAATTGAGACCATTGGGAAAACCTAAGATTTGGTCATCACATTGAACCTGATAGTATAAAGCATGATGTAGTCAGAGGAAAGAAAAACCCCTCATTTAATATTGTGTGGATACCTGGAAGACTAACTGGTACACAAAAAATACATAGCTCTAACATGGTAGTAACATGTACTGTTTATCTAGCAAGCATTATCAATGTGATTCATAATTGTATACTTGGTTTCTTTGAAAAATCTAAAATGTTGGTATGGACTAGGAGTGCATTTGGAAGGAAAAAATGAATAGCATTCTTGGTGGTGCCTGGAAAAATTAATAGTGAATACTCACCTTTGTCTCCTGGGACATAATAAAACCATGCACACAAACTAATCTTGTAAATTACACATTTAAAGGGAAAGAATTTTTATGCTCAAATACTCCATCAACTAGATGGTGACAGAAGGAGATTTGACTTTGGGTAGTGAACACAGTGCAATACACAGAGGATGTATCATAGAATTGTACATTTGAAACTTATCATCATCAATAGGTTCTTGGAAATTTGACTTGAAGCACGACGACAGATAAGGAAACCAATTTTACTATAGGCTAATTGAAGAGTTAAGTTCCTATGGCATATTTCTGGTAAAAAAAGAAAAACAAAAACTTGTAATAAGGACCCCAAACACTTCTAATATTAAACATTGAAATACTTGTGACCTATACACACATTTAAGAAAGATTAATTTTAAAAAGATAATTTTCCAACTTGCTTTTCCAACCCACCCTGGACAGGATGCCCTTCGGTTGCAGGGTACATCTCACCCATACTCAGACTGGGACAATTTAGACAAGCCAGTTCACCTAACTGCACATCTTTAGGATGTGGAAGGAAACTGGAGTCCAGGAGGAAACCCATGCAGACATGGGGAGAACATGGAAACTCCACACAGTGGCACCAGCCGGGAAGCGATTTTTTTTTCCTCAACATTGTAACAAAACGATACTGAATGGAAAGGAAATCAATAGAGAACATGCTGTACTAGATACACCTTTTCTGAAAAGTAGTCTCAGGCATTGCCTTGCCTTTCATTTATTCCTGCACTAGAAAATAGTACCAAATAATATGTACTGATTACTGATGGGAACATGGCATAAACAGAGAGCATCCTGCCCTCGTAGAACTTACAATTTGTTGCAGCAGAGACAAGTAAAATATAGTATGTTAGATAATAAGTACTTTGGAGAATGTAAAGCAGGAAAGAGGGATATGGATTTTATATGTGTGTGCAGGTAAATAGGATGTTGAAATTGGAAATAAGACGGTGAGGAAGGCCTCCTGAAATGACAGTTCAGCAAAGACCTGAAAGAGGTGAGAGCAAGTCATGGGAATAGTTGGGGTAAGATCATTCCAGGAAACAAGTGCAAAGTTTCTGAGGTAAGAACATAGGAAGGCGGCCAGTGTAGCTAGTATGGAAATCAGCGAGGAGGGAGAGTCTTAGGATATGTAGTTGGCAGGACAACAAAAGGCTAAATAGACTATGTAAGGCCTTGTAAACCATTACAAAGAGTGAAATGGGGCACCATTGAAAAGTTTTGAGCAGAAAAGAGACATGATCTAGCTTAGGTTTTAAAATGTTTATTTAGGTGTCTGTGTTGAAAATGGATTGGAGTCAAGGATAAGGAGGCTCACAATAATAAAGGTGAGAGATGAGTGGCTTGGAGTAGGTTAGAAGTGCTGAGGATAATGAGAAGTTACATATATTGAAGTTGGAGCCAGTAGGATTTGCTATAAGTTTGGAAGAAAACTCAAGGATGACTCCCAGTGTTTGGCCTGACCAACTGGAAGGATGGCGTTATCATATACTGAGATGAGGACTACAGAAAGAGCAGGAGTTTGGCATTCATTCATTCTCAATTTCTCACCTTTATCTAGGATTAGCCCCCCCAGACTCCCAAATTTTCAAAAATTCACTTTCCTTCAAGAATTCACCTTTCCCAACCTCTATTTGCAAACACTCTCAGGTCGACTTGAACCTATTCAATAGCTAGCAAAGTGTTCGTTCAGTGGATTTAAAACAGCCATCTACTTTGTTAAACAGCACAAAGAATTTGCCAATATCTTGACCCTTTAATAACGTCTGCCTCCTCCCCTGTTTAGAAGTGGTTCTAAATAGCAATTTTTTGTCTCTTGGGCTTAGCTGGAGGATCTTTTTTTTCAACTAAGACCTTCAGTAGATCCTCTCATTAAGTCTTTGAAAGTCTTTGTTGCATCAGTATCTAGTCCCTAATGCCTCTACATTGTTTCCTACAGTAGTTTTAATATTCCCTTTTGATATTACCACATTTGGTTGCAGACTCTGATTCCCAGGTTTTCTGTAAATGTGACTGCCCTCTGGCTACCTTTTGAGTTATGGGGTATTTATAGACAATGTCTTCTTTGTACCCCTCTGAGGGTTGGAGTGTTCGCTTATGTATATAAATCATAGCTGCTATTATGTTTTTATTGCACCCACAATCCCAAACTACTCTAGAATGTTTACTCCAAAAGATCAGGGTTATCTTTCTTGTTCTCTCTCTATCCCCAGTATCTGGCACTTAATGTATGTGCTCGATAAATATTTGTTGAATGAATAAATTTCAGGAGTGGGCCTTCTAGGGCTACCCTAATTTCTGGGAACAGCATTTCACCTGTCACCCCCTCCTCCAGTTTTTGTTTTTAATCATTCCTTGTACCTAAACCAAGTGCTGTTCTTGAGCGTTGTGGATTCTCTATGCTCACCTCCACTGTGAATCATGCTCATCTCCTTGGTAGTGGAGAAATCTTTTACTTACATGAAACTGACAGCAGATAAGGGTGCTTGGCAAGGTTGGGGTGCAAAAAAAGATCCAGAAGGGTTATGGGGAGAAAGTGTTGGTTCATTTCCACAAGAGAACTGGTGGAAATGAAAAAAAGAGATGCTTTAAACTAAAAAAAAAAAAAAAAAATCCTTAAAGGATAAAATTGGGATTGTGCCTGCCATTTCTATATACCTACATTATATAGCTTGGAATTGTAGAGAATTTGAGAGAATCAGGACCTAAAACACAATTGCTATTTCCTTATTTCCAATGCTCTTTTTACTATATGAGAGGCAAAAGGGGATACAAAATGAAGGCTGGGTTCAAGTTTGCCTGTCTCTCCATATACTAGATATGGGCCAATTCTGTACCTCAGTTATCTTAAAATGGAGATAATAGCCTCAACCTATTAGGGTTGCTCTGAAAATTAAATGTTTATATTATTTCCCAGACTTAAAAACTCAGAAAATGTTTCAGTAAATGAACTCACAAAAGAAAACTAAGGCCTTTTGCTGTATAAACAGTAAGAGTCAAGTGTGTGGTTTATTTTACTGGTTATGTAGGGGTGGTGAAGTAGCAGCAGCCAAACACCACAGGGTACCCAAAAGAGGCCTGAAAACCAGACGCGCCAAGTTGGAAATAACAGCGGGAGCCGCGAGCTGATCCCGCCGCCCGCGCTGGGTCCGCCTTACTCTCCCGAGTTGCTGACAGACAGGTCGTCTCACCTACCCCAGCCTCACATTTTCTCAGAGTCCCGCTCTCCTCGACCTGATAGGTAGCTGGCCTCGACCAATGGTGGCACACTGCCGTAGGCGTGTTAGCCAATCAACGGTTGGGAGCCCGGAAAGGAGCGGGGCCGAGTTAGAAGCGACTGACGCGGCCAGTGTGGTGCGGAGTGGCCGCAAAGGTAAGATGGCGGCGGTGCTTGCTCTTCGTCTTTGCAGTTAGGTTGCTGTTTCGTCCCTTCTGCCCCTTCCGAACTGCTCCTCTGCCTCGATTAGCGTCGGGGTCGCTTTCCTTCTATAGGCTTTCAGGACTCAGATTCTCCGCTTCACGGAGTCTTAGGACAAAATGGCGCTTGCACGGGCAGCCGAGGACAGGCACGACTCAGCCATGAGCTTTGAGGCGGGCCGGGACAAAGGCTGCGTACTGGGAGACGGAGGCGGGGCCCTGCGGCGTTGCTGCCTCCGCGTGGGGCGGGCGCGGGCGCTTCCTGCTTGTGCTGGGGCTGTGCGAGTCCTTGAGATACTGTTAGCGTGGTGGGGGCGGGCATGGAAGAAGTGGAGGTGAGGGAAATTCACTAATGTCTGGGGAGACCTGGCCGAGGGGAGATATGGAGCATGACTTCTGTCTGTTCTTTAGAAACTATCCGCGGTCTGCCTGCATATTGTGGAGGAGGAATTTTGGGGGGAAGGGTAAGGGCTTTTTGACCTTTTGTGTGATCCTGCAGGTTTTGGTATGAATAGGATTCGGATCCACGTCTTGCCGACCAATCGGGGGAGGATCACCCCAGTGCCCAGATCTCAGGAGACCCTGTCTTGTTCATTCACTCATCGCCCATGCTCGCAACCTCGTCTGGAGGGGCAGGAATTTTGCATTAAGCATATTCTTGAAGATAAGAATGCACCCTTCAAGCAGTGTAGTTATGTATCGACGAAGAATGGGAAAAGATGCCCCAGTGCTGCCCCAAAGTCTGAGAAGAAAGATGGGTATATATATATGTAGATAATTTTGTCTTTTGTACTTTTAAAGTGAGAGCGGGATGGAGTATGATGTGGGCTTGGGCGTAGCTACGGAGTTTTTTTAGCTCACGTGCTTGTTAAATTGGGATTATAAATACATTGGAAAATTTAAAAAAAAAGGTGGAGACTGGAAGGGAGACCACTTCTAATTGGACCACTCAGCTCATCTCTTATTCTGGATTATTCTTAACTCTGGGATCCATGGCTCTTTTGGCTGGGCCTGAGCCTTGTTAAATAATATGCAAAGTTGTATTTATGTGTATTTCTCTGGGAAAGGTTTCATAGTTTATATTCTATAAGCAAAGGTATCCATGCAGAAGCATAATTTGGCTAAATAATTCTGCATATACCTTTTGGTTATAAAATTGTGTTCCACATCTTATTAACTACAATGTATGATATTAAAGTAAAATGTAGAGTTGCCTTCCAGAATCAATTTTGAAAGATGAAAGTGAATCTCTAATTTCTTGTGGGATGATGTCAGCATTTTTATAGTTGGAATGTTTTGTTTGATGGATACTGTACTAGATTATGCTACCTGCATTTCCCCTTAGTAATACCAAATGAATTGACCTTGGGCCAGTAAATTACTCTGCTTCACTGGCCTTTTTAATGTATAAGTGAAGATAATGGTCGTTTTAATTTCCTAAAAATGATCTAAAGATCAGTGACTATGGAAATCACTGAATTCTTTCAAGAAGGAACCTGAGTATAAAATGCTAATATTTTATCTCCTTAGGGTGTCCTTCTGTGCTGAACATGCCCGAAGGAATGCCCTGGCACTTCATGCTCAAATGAAGAAGGCTGGTCCAGGCCCTATGGGTGAAACACTCTTGTGCCAACTGAGCTCATATGCTAAGACAGAGCTAGGGTCTCAGACTCCGGAAAGTAGTCGCAGTGAAGCCAGCCGAATTCTGGGTAAGGATCTTCTCTACTAGAATGAAAAAGGAGGAAGAAAGGTAACAAAGAAATTACTTTGGTTGAGCACAGTGCCTTGAACATATATGACACTTGATAATACAATATCATTGTTAATTCATTGGCAGTTTGGTGAGATTCCAGGATTGCTATGTTGTTCACCAATTCTTTTCAATTTTAAGTAGTGTGTGCTTAGATTTACTTTCCTGAGTTTATGACTATTTTCTTCATTGTTGTTTATATATTTTTCATCTTTGCTAGGCAAGGTAATTTCAGGAAACAAAAATAATTTGGAGTTGGACTTTCTGTCCTTTTGAAGGCGTAGTTAATTCTTTTATGTTATAAGTAATCTTACCTGGGTTGTATTGTTTTAAGCCATTTTTATTTGCCAGTACCTTTGTACTAAGTTATTTTAATTTTAAGATTTGGTTTGATGTGTTAAGTAACATAGTTTTGTGTAGTGGAGTTCCAGAGGTGGGAAGTCTTAATGGCTGCTCTCCCTTCCTTGCCTCAGATGAAGACAGCTGGAGTGATGGGGAGCAGGAACCCATTACTGTGGATCAGACATGGAGAGGTGACCCTGACAGTGAAGCTGATAGCATAGACAGTGATCAAGAAGATCCCCTAAAGTAAGTTGTAACTCCACATAAGCTTTTAAATATTTTGTGTAGTTAGTATGTGGGATGTAGTATTGCATACTGTTGGTAGATTAATAACTTAGGGGGGTTGAAGATAGCTATTTGTGAGGAAAAACAGCTTCTGTAAATTAAAATGTTTGGTTCATCACTCTTGCTTCAAGGCAGGATTTGATTTTTTTTTAGAAGTTTTGTAATTAAAAATTTTTTTTTTTTTAAGCTGAGCCATCCTGCCACCTGTTGGCAGCTCAGTGGCAGCTCAGCTCGGGCCGGCAATCGAACTGCTGTTGCTCAGAGCTCAAACTTTTGAGCGAGCTCTTAACCAACTGAGCCACTTGTCCAGTCCCCTAATTTCAGAACATTTTTGAATGTCAAGTTCTGTATATGAGAAAGTATAGGGGAGCAAATAGGAAATTTCTTAGATGTAGGAGTGGGAAGTGGGTTAGATCAGTTAGAGAATAGAAAATCGATGTGAATGGGTTCTTGGCTCAACCACAGGAATAATAAAGTGATTGTATTTGAGTAACTACTTTTTTTTGCCAAGTTACATTTTAAAGGTTTTTTTTTCCCTTAAAGATAAAAAGGTATTCCAGAATTTCCTTTTTTTTCCTATTGCATGCGTAAGAAAGAGAAACATTTAGAAACCAGGAAGTGACTAATCAGCCTAATTATATCTTACTAAGGTTCTGCTCTTCACTTAACCCATGATCATCTTAGGAATTGTAGAAACATAAAAACATTGCCACTCTGAATGTCTCATGGTTTGGGTTTAGATTAGTTTGCCTTTTTTTTTTTTCTTTTTCTTTCCCTTTCTGACTTCTGTCTTGCAACACTTTCCACTGACAGTTTAAGTAGAAGTACTGTAAGTAGTGGGAGGGATAATGAATTTCTATACTAGACCGTGTTGAACTTAAATTCTTAGAATAGCGTTTTCTTCATTACCATGGATTCTGAGGTTTTTAAGAAGTCATTTAGGGCTACATTTTCTGAGTGAATCGTTTCATCTATTTCTCTTGAATAATTTCAGTGTAGTCAGCTATTCAAGAAGTACTTGTTTGTAAAATCTCTAGGTTGAGAAGGAATGTTTGTTTTCTAGCGAGATTTTCTCAGTAGTAACTTTATACCAAGCACATTGCTTTTTTATTTTTCACTGTGCTTCTAGAAATGCTAAACTTGCTGCTTTGAAGAGGTGTATGCTCTGTAGGGTCATAAAGTGACTTCGTTGGTGTGGTAAACACTCAACTTTGAAGGTGCAGAAACTTGATTTTGTCATTAGTAATCTAGAGTAGATCAATCTTTAGGGGGCACATACTTATTTATAATAATTTACAAGAGACTGCTATATAAACCAAAATACCAGGTAATATTATGAGAAGTATGAATGTTAAAAGGACTAGGTACTTGATGGCCAGGTTCTCCTAAAAGGAACATTCAAAAGGGAAAATACAGCCTCATATATGCGCAACTATTAGGCAATGAAATATAAGGCTTTCCTTAATTCTCTCAGTGAGATTATCCAAAAAAAATTTGGCCTACTAAAATATATGCATTTTTAGAAATGTAAATATAGTTGTTAAATGTCTACTAATAATATTTAATTTATTAATATGGTTACATATTACTATCTTTTTTATATTTTAATACAGGTGTTTAATGAAATTCTTTTAATTAAAAATTTTCATCTTTGGTGCCAATGTTTGTCATTACTAGGACCACTTTTGAATCATTAATATAGAATATATCTTCACTTGCTTGTTTTAGAAAGGGTACTGTATGTATTTATAGTAATGTCATTAGAGAGTTTATCCTAACTAGAATTACTGTTGGCATAATTTTTTCTGCCTTGTAGATAAATATACAGAGGGTACCAAAAGTATGTATACACATTTTAGAAAAGGGAAACTGTATTAAAATTGTAATACTCAAAATATACTGATAACAAAAGATGGATACAAGTCATGTTTGACTTCTGCAATTACAAGAGGTGGTCAGAGTGGTTACCATCAGGGTCCAGACACTTCTGATTACAGCGAACCACTGCTTGAGTAACGTTAACCAAAGTGTCCACTTGTATACATTTTTTTGGCATCCCCAATATATATGTGATTCCCCTGAAAGGAACCATTTATTACTTACTTTGTAAAATGTGATCTTTAAAGGTTCGTTTATAGCAATGTCCAACACAGGTGAAATTTTAGCTTAAGAGTAACTGTTAAATCTTTCACAGTTAACTGTTATATCTTTTTAAAAATAAGTTTTGTCACATGACTTCTGCAAGCGTCCGGAACTTGTTTTGGTAATGGTCATTTCAGATTACTGAGTCTTCATTGTTATCAAAATAAAGAAGTTTGAGAGAATGCTCTTTAGTAAGAGACTATTTAATGGAATATAAGTTGATTCCGTTTCTTGAAGATGAATTCTAACAATAAAACTTTGACTTATATTTGTGCATATCACAAGGAGAGTTAGACAACTATCTATGACTGTCTAGAACACCCATCTTGAAGTAAATGACCCATTTGTCACATGAACGAGGCATTCATAGTAGTCAAGGTGCTCACCCCCCCAAAGCTGCCAAAGTGATTTGTAGTAAGTTCTAATTGTAGTGTCTTCCCATTTATAAATTCTAGTTCCCAAACCATTGGTTAAATTCTCTTCTGATAGAGTACAATGAAATTAATTTCATTTTAATAAACTTGGTACTTAGGTTAAGGCCTCAGTATTTTAGGATTGCAGATATAGCCCATTTTCCTGAAGACATAACCTAGTCACCTTGTTTAGACATTAGATATTTTTAAAACCTTTCCACATTTCCTGATAATCTTAGATTTTGTTATTTCTGTAATTTGCTGATTTTACTCATCCTGTTTTGGTTTTTAATTTCTGTTCACTTATTTTTACTTCAGAGTGTTTTATGGTTCTACTTCTTTTATACACAGGTAGTAATTGGCTCTTATTTATATTTAAGAAAAAAGTGTGGCAGAGATTACTTGCTTTCAGTCCTAAAGTTAATTTTATTTATTCTGTGTAGTCCAGTGACTTAATAGCTAATTTTTTAAGAAAGCCTAATTTTTGGATTTTTAAAATTAGTTTGATTATGTAATTTGTGTATTGCCTTTTGAAGGAAATAATTTTTACTAAATCAAAATATGAAAATATCAAGTCAGGGTATATAGCTTGCTCTTCTTGTTTATGTAATGGTCATAGAAGACAAATGGAACTAAAAGTCTTTTAAATTTGCAGTTTCTCTTTTAACTTTTGAGTTAAATCCAAGGCAGGAAATAGTCTGGTTAAGCTGCCTTTTAACTCATTTTCTTATGTTACCTCATTAATCACTAGAATAACTTTTTTAGAAGTCCTATTAATTGGCAGCAAAATTTAGTATCGTTGGTATGGATCACCGATCTTTGGCAATCATGGTTAACTCAGGATACTCTATTTTGAGACTTGTCAAGAAAAGGAGCTGAGACAGTGACTAGCCATTGTGACCAGTGTTTGAGAGCTCCTGTAAGCTCTAATATTGTAGGGTATTTTTAAATTAAAAGTTGTAATTGTTTATCATTTGTATTTTAATTAAAATACATTAAGATACATGCTACTAAATTTTTAACATGTTTAATAATTTGAACATTTTTAAATTGTCCTGACTGGTAAGTTATTTTTTTGTATTAGGTGGAATAAGAATGTAGATTAATAAAAATTTTGAGTGTTCTATATCTTCACTTCTTTTTAAACATATGCAAATAACTGGGAAAAATAATGAAACATCTTCCATTCCTCAAATTGTGAGATCATAAATTAATGTCCATTCTTGGAGATTTGCTTTTTCTTGAGTAGAACTTGAATGGTAAAATGTGTGAAAAGATTCCTGTTAATGTGCGATTGTCTCAGCACTGACTGCTTATTAAGTAACAAACTTAAGTGTAATTTGTACCCTTTTCTTCTTTTATGCTTTGGTTTTGTTATTGTGCTTTCTTATGCTTTGCTGAATTCTGTTTTATTCCAGACATGCTGGTGTCTACACAGCTGAAGAAGTGGCCCTGATTATGCGTGAGAAACTAATTCGTTTACAGTCTTTGTACATTGATCAGTTTAAACGACTTCAGCATCTGCTCAAAGAGAAGAAGCGACGTTACTTACATAATCGCAAAGTGGAACATGAAGCTCTAGGCAAGTTTTATGCCAGTTCCAGCAAAGTATTGTAGGTTCAACATGTGAACCCACATGTTGGCAGTAGTTAGATTTATCTGTGTCTAGATATCTGGAGTGGAGGAGAATTAGCTTTTGAAACTGCCTCTCTTATGGCCAAAGATTTTTTTTGTTTACTTGTTAATTTCGAGAATTGTCCTTGATTGGGTGCTCGGCAGATAACATCTTGACTGTTGTGACTCCAGGTAGTAGTCTCTTGACTGGCCCAGAGGGACTTTTGGCCAAAGAACGAGAGAACTTAAAGCGGCTGAAATGTCTTCGGCGGTATCGTCAGCGTTATGGAGTGGAAGCCTTACTACACAGGCAGCTAAAGGAACGCAGAATGCTGGCCACAGATGGTGCCGCCCAACAGGTAATTTGTGTGTATACCTCTAACGTGTATCCTGTATACATTTGCTTTATTTTCAAAGTTAGGGTAATTGTCAAAACACTGCTGTACAGTCTTGGCTCTGACATCTAACTTACTGGATGTGGGGTATATTGAAAAGAGCACTTACCTGGAAGTCTGGGGACATGGATTCTAGTCTCATTTCCCTCTGACCAGTTCTGTGCCCACACTGTTAACTTTTCTGGGCCTCTGTTCTCATCTGCAAATTGAGGGGTTGCCATAGATTTCTCAGTTCTTTGGTTCAGAAATTCTTCAGTTCAAAAGTAGGGAGTGGTGAAGCCCAAGTTCCTTGGGAATCTTGTACAATAGAAGGTGGGGAAATAGGCAGAATAATAGGAGCAATGAATGTTGGGAAGTAAAGTAAGGTTGATAGGAAGCAGAGTTAAGTGATCATTCTTAAATTTGTTTCTTAAGCCCTTGGTCTCTGCTTCAGTAAGAGTAATTCCATTTTTATCTTTTATTTGTTGAGGCTTCACATAAGATTACAATTTTGAAAAGGGTTTCACTTAAAGATAAAATAGTTTGAAACCCATTAGGCTATATTACACTTTTATAATATGGAGAGTGAATTTCAAATTAAGGTTAACTCATTATTTGGGCATGAGATTTTTTATTTGTTTTTTTCTTTTATATACCTGGGGTGCCACCGGTGATGCCAAAAAAAAAATGTATACAAGTGGACACTTTGGTCAACGTTGCTCAAGCAGTAGTTTGCCATAATCAGAAGTGTCTGGATGCTGATGGTAACCACTTTGAGCACTTCTTTTAATTGCAGGAGTCAAATGTGACTTGTATTCATCTTTTGTCATCGGTATATTTTGAGTATTACAATTTTAATACAGTTTTCCTTTCTTAAAATGTATATACATTTTTTTGGCATCCTCTGTAGTATTGGTGAATAAATTTAAATGTTGACTTTTCTAGCTTTTAAAGATACACCTTTTTACATGTTATAACTAGTTCTTCTCATAGATAATTGATTGTATTTTTTTGTTTGTTTTAATTTACCTGTTTTCTCTATTTTAGGCCCATACCACTCGTTCCAGTCAGAGGTGCTTGGCCTTTGTGGATGATGTTCGTTGTTCTAATCAGTCTCTCCCAATGACCAGACACTGCCTTACTCGTATCTTTTTACTCTGTTCAGTTTGCTAGCTAGACTGAAGGCTAGTGGGAATCTCTAATAGTTTGTTTAATTGAAGGTTTTTGTTTTCCTTTGGCCCTGAATCAAGGCCAACAGTTTGCTGAAGCTGTTGGTTTCAAGCAGGAGCCTAAAGAAATGTCTTTCTATGGTCTGTTGGCCATTTCAGAACTTAGGAAATGTAATGGTCAATTCATTAGAAAGAAACATCTGAGTCCTTGGTGGTAGATGTGGGCTAACATTTATTTGTAGTCAGTTAATATTGGGATTCCAAAATATGGAGATCCCTGATTTAACTTGTTCATTAGAATTGTGATACTGTTAAATCCAGTTATTACCAAAAAATTACGGTGGATTTTCTACCAATAACAATAGGGTAATTCTGAACTGTAAGCTTCCTTTGAGTATTATCCTTTTGTATAGTTAGGGCCCTAACTTGGACTTCATTCAAATTGGAAACTTAACTGATTCCAAAAATGGGATGTGTTCCCCCCCCCCCGCCCCCAATTAATTTGTCTTTCAACCATCATAGCGTCTTTTGATTCTGCTATGGGACTACATTTACTATTGGGCTACTTTTTGAGCTGTTTATTAGTTTGTGAAAGTATATCTTTATTATGGATATTGATAGAGAAAGTTACTTTCACTGTAAAAAGCATTTGACAAATACGATGATCTTCATTATATGAAAGGAATAAATCTTGCTGGATTTGCCATTTCCCTGGGAAGAGATAAAACATTTGGAAAATAAAATGTATTTTTTTTAATAGGAAGAGGAGAGCCTTCTCTTGGTCTTCTGACTTGATTTTTTTCTATTCTGTTTATTAAATATTTTACCAATTTATTAATTATTGCAACAAGTGTCTGCTAAAAGATTACCTTCCTTAATATATTAAATGCTTGTGCAAAGTAACTAAAAACTAAAGGTAAATGCTTAAAACATAATTGGGCAAAGGCTTTCTATGGATAGATTTATAAGTAGAAGTGTCTGGTAATTGAATAGTGCTTATCATTACTATAAATAAATAGGAAATAAAACAAGTTTTTTAATTTATAAATTTGATATTTATATATGATATTTAATGAGTGAGTGATTTCAAAGATTGGTGATGGTATGGTGAAACAGGCTCTTCTAAATGCTGCCAGTGGGAATATAAAATGGTACAAGCTTTTTAGACAGCAGTTTGACAATATTTATATTCTTTTGATGTGATAATGTCACCTTTGGGAATTTATTTTAAAGAGATAATCAAATGCAGACCAGCATTTTTACATAAAATTTCTCCAACTGGAGACAGCCTTAAAATTTTCGGAGATGGGGAATAAGGAAAATTATGCTAGAACATAATATGGAATATGTTCAGGCATTAAATATATTGAACAAAATTTATGAATGACATAGGAAAATGATAGTAACAAAAATAGCTTATGGAATTCTGTAGAGCATGTTTTAACTACATGGAACTAAATACTGGGAGGGAATGTAATAGAAATTGACTATTTTTGGATGGTGGGGTTATGAATGCCCTTTTTTCCTCTGCTTTGTACTTAGGTTTTCTTCAGTGAACTTGAAATACTTTATAAGGCAAAAAAACCAATTTACAGGTATTAAGGAGTATTTTAGATTTTTCTTAAAGTACTATATTCAAAGTTTATTAGAATATTATTTTAAAAATCAAAGTTGAAAATGAAATGTATTTGAAAAGAGAAGGGAAGTATTTTTTTCTTGTATGCTCTTTTCCTTTCCACTCCATAGTTGCCTAAGTCACTTACCCTTCCTTAAGTCCTTATTTCAGAGAAAGATGCGACTGCCATTGGTGACCTGTTAACTCTTTACTCTGGTCTAATGGAGACAGCACTGGACTGAAAAGTGAAGGACCCACACTCTAGTTGTAGGTCAACCATTCCCTTCTCTTTGTCTCTGTTGTCCCCATCTGAAAGGAAAGGGGTGGAGGAGGATGGGTGTGGGGAGGGTTTTTCCAGGAATGTGGTATTAAATAAGACTTGGGAAGGTCCTTTGAATTCCATGAAAAAAGTTTTGATGAAAACATTCAATTTAATGGATTAACATTTTAACTAATAATTTCAAGATGATTGGGCTTCTTAAGCACAGAGACCGCAAATCTGTCCCCATTAGATTCATGTTTGTTCATTCAATTTCATTGAATATATATTTGTTTCTTTTGTACTAGTTGATGTTCTTCAGAGTAGTGGTTCTCAGCTGGGGGCCATTTTGTCCCCCATTTGACAATGTGGAGACATTTTTGCTTGCCATAACTTGGTTGGGGTGCTACTGACATCTAGTGGGTAGAAGCCAGGAATGCTGCTAAACATCCTACATACTCAGGACAGCCAATGCTGTTAATGCCAAGGTTGTGAAACACTGCCTTAAAGTTTAGCAGTTTTCAAGAATGGATTGAAAGAAATGGCTTTATTCAAGAGTTTTTATTTGCTTTAAAAATTACAGTGTACATTAGATTTTTTAGTTTTTAAAAGTTACCTTAAAATTTTGAGGATAAACGTTACCCATAATTGCATAATCCTAGATATAGTTTATAGAAAATTGTGCTTTTTTTAATTTAAAAATAAGCCCAAATTTGAAATAATAGGAAAATAACCATATAGTTAGGATTTCAAGAAATGGTAATACTTACATAAAATGCATTTTGTAGAGCAACTGCAACTGGAATGTTATTTTATCTAATCATTTCAATTTTGATTCATCCTACAGAGCTTCTTTGCCAACTGGAAATAATAGCCCTTTTCTGCATCTAGCCTTAACAGAAATTGTTAGAGCTCCTGGAGTACTTTCTTTCCATGGGCTCTCATAAGCAAAATTATCCTTTTCCCTTTTGGGGATTATAACAGGGAGCCCCCTACACTAACACCCCTCATCCTGTACCAGCCTTAAGAAAGGGCACAGGAATGCATTTTTACTTTTGGGATATGATAGGTAATGTTACTAGAGCTTCCATTTTCCCAAGTCCCCTGCTGCTTTAAACAAATTTATCATGTAAACATTTTGGAATGTTTAAAAAGTTTTAAAAAAAGTTTTTGGAAACTTTCTGCCATACTGCTTAATGGAGCAGATATAACGTATCTCTTGACTCTGGGAAGGGGTTGGTAGAGGCTCTGCGAGCTGTTTGCATTTGTCATGACATGTTTCTTCTGAATAGGTGCAGATTCCTGGGATGATTATTGTTGTTTGCTTAGCACTGTGTTTTCAAATGTTTTGTATTTGACCCTATAAGGGAGAAAAAGATTAGTGTCTCTAGTTTAAATGACTAGGATCTTAAAGTGGAGGTTGGGGACTAGTTAAATTTACTGGTAGAGTTAGAATTAGATGCTAGTAAATGACACTTAATTTTGAGAAGTAACTTTAAAAGTTGCTGACTGCATTTGGTTCTGTATCAAATGTAACCATTTGTCTTGTGTAGTACAGACTTTGGGTTTCACATGGCAGACACCTCTATTTTGTACCTCCTACAGATCCATTTTATTTCCCTTGACCATTTTTCTACAGATATTTGTCAGGACACGAATCAGGTTCTCTTCAAATGCTGCCAGGGGTCTGAAGAGGTACCCTGCAACAAACCAGTTCCTGTAAACCTCTCTGAGGATCCCTGCTGCCCACTGCATTTCCAGTTGCCTCCTCAGATGTATAAGCCCGAGCAGGTACTGTCTGTGCCAGACGATCTGGGAGCCGGCCCCATGGATCTGTACTTGAGTGCTGCTGAGCTTCAGCCCACTGAGAGTTTACCTCTGGAGTTCAGTGATGTAAGTTAGAGAAGCTCTGCTCTGGTTGGCCCTTGAGGCAAGGCCTTACTTATTAATGGTGAGAATAGGTTAGTCTTTTGTGGTTAGGAGAGTTGATAAAGTTTTTGAATGATATATGTATGATTGTATTTGTATGTTAGCATATTCATTTAGAGACAGTTTAAATTGGCAGACGTTTTTCTGAGGGAATGATAAGGGAAATTCTAAACTAATTGATAGTTGGAAAGTCAAGATTATGGTTGGATTTGGTGTAGCTGGGATGTATGGGACCCATCCATAAGGTGAGTGATTTGATAGAATCTTAGTAATACATACGAGTTCTGATATCTAAACTTGACAGTGTAAACTTGCGTTTTGGCTCTGTAGTCAGGGTTTTCATTTTCAGATTAATGGGTCTCTTAAGAAATGACTCTAAACTTACCTGTGATTACTGTTTTACATTTTTGATATGTTATTACGTATTTGTGAATGGACTAGAACAACAGTGAGCTCCCTGAGAATTTACTTTTATAGCCTTCTAAGTATGTGTACTAGTCAATCTTTTTCAGCTTGTTCCTCGATTGGCCCCAGCCCATAAATGCAGCTCACATTTTGTTTCCCTAATTGGCACTACCTACTATTTGATTTTAGGGATCAATTGACAGTCTATCTCTATTTTAGCACTTTATGTATAACCTTTAGCCTTTTGGATAAAGATCTTCATTATTCTGAAAAAAGAAATCTGAATTTCATAATAAAAGTATTTTGTGTATTACCATGACATGTTTAAGGTGACAGATCTAAATGGAAAATTTAATATAGGTGGCAAGATTGTTTGCTAAGGGTGGAAGTAGGGTTTGGGTGACCTCAAGGATATTGCTCACTAAAGATACTGGGGCAGGGTAATATCTGAAAAAGAAAAAGTGGCATTAAGAATAAATTGATTGTGATTTTTTTCCCATAATTTCTCCCCCCCTTCTTTTTGGGTTATATACTGTCTATAGGTATATTAAACTTCTGGTTTTTATTAATAACTTCATTTATAATACTATAGTTTTTGTTATAATCCTGATTATAATTGCTTTTTAAAAAGTTTCTTTCACACAGATTCATAGAATATGAGAATTAAAAAGTGACCTTAGAGATTATATGCTCCAATGTTTCCTAGATTTTTCCAGTGAGATTATGTTGTAGAGAGTAAATGGACAGCCACAAATTGATAGGGACAGATTTTTGTCTACTTCCTTCATTTTACATGTGAAGAAAACCAGAGAAGTGCTTTAAAATTTTTTTTTAAACTTAGTAACACAAGGAGCTTTATAGGGTCTAAAAAATAACCTAATAACCACTGTATCACCAAATTCTCTTCAAATATTAATGTATGTATATAGAAACTAGCACATGTGTGTTATATACAAGTACTAGGTTATTAATATTTATGTCATTTGATTGTTAATTTATAGGGACATTTCTGTCTTGACCATTTTGCTTTTTCCTCTTTCACCTATTTTTCCTATATTTTAAATTTCTTTCTCAAATCTTTGATAATCTAGGTTTAAGAAAATATTGACTGTCCTAATAATATGTTTGAAGATTATATACTTGTTTTCTCTTTGGAGAATAGTTACATAAAATATTAAAGATTGTAAGATGTGATCTCAAGGCAAAAACTGACATTTAAGGAATCCTAGTTTTAAAAATATTTTAAAATATATCATCAAATCTGTTAATCCTTATATGTGGCATGGATTTCTTAAAGAATGAATGAGAAGTAATCTTATTTTTAGGAATCCAGTGGGTTTTTAAGAAGTACCTTTGTTAGAGGTAAAAATGATAAAAAGTTACCTATTTGTAATTGATCATCTATTATGTTCATATTAATATACCTTTGCTAAACCACATTGGTCATTAAATATAGTTTTATTCTTAACCATTGGAAGTAAGAACGCTCCAGAAAATTTTGAAACAAAATTCAGTTTTAGAAAAGAATTTTTGCCCTCCCACAAACTCAGGATATATTTATCAATATAAAATTTTGCTGGGAAAAAATGATTTTTTTATTTTATGAATTTCACCAAGCAATCTTTTTACCCATGTTCTGCCGTAGATATCATTTCTATAACTGGTTAATAACTTTGGGTAACTTTACTCATAGGGCTAGGTATTAGATATTAACATGGGTGAAATTTCAGCCTTTCATTGCTGATATTACTCTTTCCTGTTTTCTGTGCTTTGATCCAGGGACGTTTGGCAAGTAACAACCTAATACCTTAATCCTGTTACTTTGAGCTTGCTCTTGTGTGTGTGTGGTTTTTGAGCTCTTTTTGAGATAAGAACAAAAGTGGATTCTCAATGTCTTGATGCTTGCATCTCTAAGCATTCCTGTTATGGTAGGCATTTCTGTTGATTGTTTTTTCCTCTCTTATTTTAGGTTCCTTTCCCCAATTTTAATTCTTGTAACAGACAACACTGAATATGTGAGAAAAGCCTTTTCAGTGTCTATTTTCCTTTGTAAACATTTTCATACCATTATCATGAGACTTGGAAAACTTGCCTCACTTTTAAATGGGTTATTTTAAATTCCAAGTTAATTATTTATGTAATAATTATGCATAGTAAAATAATTGGAGAAAATGATTCACTGTCTTAACGGTGTGTGAACACTGGTTCCTGTGGATATTACAGAAGCTTCTAACACATCCAAAATGAATGTTAGGTGGCCAACTGTATCCTTTTCCCTCTGTTTCTGCTTAAGTTGAGCAGCTTTAAATTCAGTACCTTCTGGATATATGTTCTTTTCTTTACCTTAATCATTGTGAAGATGTAATTCTCACTTTTGGTGATTAGCACACCAAAGGAAGGGAAAGGACTTCAAACTCGTCCCTTTACTCAAAAGCATTGAACAAAGTAAGCCTCTCATGAAGCTAGATTACTGGGAATATAAAGCCTCAGTAAAGTGGATTTGGCATAGGGGAATATAAACCCTTGGGTAATTTTCACTCTTAGACAGGAGAGTTTAACAGTAGACTCCTAGAAAGTGGTGGCATGAAAGTCAGTTTGACACATTGGCTGAGTCTTTGTAATGCTGTAGGCTCTGAATCAAGACCAGTGGTTTGTTGTAGCTATTGGTTTCAAACAGGAGCCAAGAGCAATGTCATCCTGTGGTCTGTTGGCCGTTCAGGATCCCAGTGGGAATGGCCAATTCAATTGGAAGAAACAGCGTGTAGACTGCAGTGTATTTTTTTTTTTTTTTTTTAGCTGAGCCATCCTGCCATCTGTTGGCAGCTCAGCGGCTGCTCAGCTCGGGCCGGGACTCGAACCGCTGTTGCTCAGAGCTCAAACTCTTGAGCGAGCTGTTAACCAACTGAGCCACTCAGCCGGCCTGGAGAATATGCTTTTTAAAAAAATAAATATTTATTGTGATAAAATATTTGTAACATAAAATTCACTATTTTAAATACTTATAAGTGTACAGTTCAGTGGTTATTAAGTACATTCACATATTGTGCACCCATAACCACTGTCCCTTTCCAGAACATTTCCATCAGCCCAAACAGAGAGACTCTGTACCCATTAAACTACAACTCCAACTTCCCCTCTCCCCCCACCCCCTGGTAGCTACTTTCTGTCTCTGAATTTTCCTATTTAAAAAATATGCTTTTAAAAACTACCGTAGTGGTCCGTGTTTTATACTCAGCAGCAAAAAATCTTAGTGGTGTTAGATCTTATCCCATTTGTTGGACATTATGGGAAAATCTTTATCTTTTTTTTTGATTCAAGGTGGGCAAGGGGTGAGGGAAGTATGGGAGACTTGCTTTGAGGTTTGCTGAAAATTATGCCTGCTTTAGCTAATTGGTTCCCTTGGTACTGCTGATAGGCTTTTCTCTTTTCTTTTCCTAGGACTTGGATGTTGTGGGTGATGGTACGCAGTGCCCTCCTTCACCCTTGCTTTTTGATCCTTCACTGACCCTTGAAGATCATTCAATCAAAGACATTGCTGAAGGCACAGTGGATATTTTGGCAAGTGAAGACCATTCCCAGCCAGGCTTCCCTCAGTAATGACCCAGCCAGGCAGAGGGTTCCCTGCTGGTTCTGCTAGTGTGCACTCCCAGGGAGCAGGGTTGTCATCACTAGACTATAAAGGTGCCCCAGATGGCAGTCTCCAGATTGGCTCTTCGAATACCTCATAGTTCAGAGAGCAGGACACAAATTTATTTAGTTAACTAGAAAAGGTCGAGATAAAGAATCTAGGTAAATTGTTCCTTTTGAAGGAGTGTTGAGCGCTGGAATTGTTTTCACCACATAGAGCAAGGATAAGTAATGCGATTTGGCTTCTTTCTTTGAGCCTTGGGTGGGATATCTATGGCCCTGACTGAAGACCAGCAGTTACACTATAGCTGTTGGTTTCAAGCAGAGGCCCAAAGGACCATCTTCCTGTGATCTATTGGTGGTTCTGGAACCTCAGCAGAGAATGCCTGTTTCATTTGGAAGAAACAACCTGCTGCTCTCCCTCCCATTGGAAATCTCAGGAGTGTTGCAAGTAATGACTTCTGATTTCAGGATCAGGGATGGTTAAGTATGGGAAAGAGCAACTGCCCAGAATTATTTTATTTCTTCAGTTTTGTTCTTGTTGCTATGATACATGGCATTGATAAGTCAGATTCATGCTTCAGACCACAACAAATGAATTTGTAACCAAAGTGACTTTCTCTTAACAGGGCCAGATGCAGATGGTCGGAGATGGGTGCAGATCACAGGGATCTCGAAATTCTGAGAAAGCCTCTGCAGCATTGCCTCAGAGTGGAATGGCTACTGCAAATGGGAAGCCAGAACCCACTTCTATCAGTTGATAGTTTGTTTTGGGAACCATTTGACTTCGGAGGATTTGAATTTCCTATTCTTTAAACAAGTACTTCTGACCATCTCTCACTAAAGGACAACCCAGATTTTGTTTTTCTTCTGGGTTACTGAGTGCTGTAGTCAAACATAAACCAAATTTTGGGGGAAGGGACCAATAGTGTCTAAAAGTTGTGGGTGTCTTCCCACTCTGGCAAGGAAGAGAGAGAGAGGTGAATCTGCTGTTGGGATTGAGCAAATATTTGGGACTCTGCCCAAGAGGAGAAACATCCTTGTAGGGGGATCTCCCAAGTCTTGGAACAAATCCACATAGGTGTTTAGGTGGGAGCTGTGTACCCTTGGCATATTGATGGACCTAGTGACTAGTTGCCACTGTTTAACAGCCTGTGTTTTAACCTTTCCTCACCTCTCACCCCATTGGGTAATATGAACCCCCTTCTCCCAATGAATAGGCCACAGCATTCATCTTCTAACGTATGTAAATTTCTGTAGTGACTGTCTTAATGTAAGATACCATAAAAAGTTATATATAGTTTCTATTAAATGTTAAAATGTTACGAATATATAAAACACTTAAATGCATGTTTTGTTTGTATTTAAAGTATATATTTTGGAGAGGGGGGGAGTGTTTAGGGAGCTGTCTGATGGGAAAGGGAAAACAGGACAGATACACTTCCATCCCAAGAGGTTAATATATTTTCAGTGACTTACTTTGGTTTTGGCTTGCAGGATACAATAAAAACCTGTAAGAAGTAAATGGAAAGGGATGGGACTTCCTTATTAAAGCCTACCAGTTCCAAATATCTTCCTTTTTTACTTTCCTCTGTGTTCCCTACTTCCACTCCTATTTGGTGTTTTTTTGTTTTGTTTTTTTAAGCTGAGCCATCCTGCCACCTGTAGGCAGCTCAGCGGCAGCTCAGTTCGGGCCAGGAATTGAACCAGCGACCCTGTTGCTCAGAGCTCACACTCTTGAGCAAGCTTTTAACCAGCTGAGCCACTTGGCCAGCCGTCTTCCACTCTATTTCTATCTCATAATGTCTGATTATCATTTTAAAATTTTCTAGGGGTAGGAATGATACATACTATTTATGTATATCTCCCAGAGAAATTGGGCCCGGTGCTTGATCACAGAGAGGCATAAATCGTCAAGATCATTTTGATGATGAACCTAAGGGTACGGTTAAAATAGAAGTTTAGTTGGGGTTAAGTTACCTATGCTCAAAGTTGTCTGTTTCTGTAATGCATTATGGTGAGGTCAGAAGATTACCTTCTATTAAAAATTGAGCTGAGGAACAGAAGAGTTGATGCAGTTACACCATCACCTTCCTTGGCTTTAGTTTAAATATCCGCATCCAGAGAATGGTCACAAGTAACTCAGAAGGCCCATCAGATGAATTTCTGAGGTCATCGTTAGTATTGGGTTGTTGGAAAAGTCATGACGTATTTTGTTTGTTTTTCAAAGGTCATTTATTTATATAAAGAACAAAGATCAATCAATGATATATTGCCTGTTTTGTTCGATAACCTTTGACCATCTTTCAGTGAGCTTTATAATTCCTCATTCATAGAAGGACCTGTCTTTATTTGCAAAAAACTGAACAAGGTACTGATTTACAGCCTCAGGTGAATTGAACGCTATACCACGCAAGAAGTTTTGAAGAGAGTAAAACAAGTGGAAGTCTGACGGTGCAAGGTCAGGGTAGTATGGTGGGTGTGGCAACACATCTCATCCAAGCTCCAGTAATTTTTGACAGGTGATCGAACTTGTGTATGGTCTCGCGTTGTTGAAATGGAGCACAACTCCTTTACAATTAACAAATGCTGGACATTTCTGGATGATGGATTTGTTCAAACTTCCCGGGAAGAGCACAATGATGGTGCCAACTTGGGCCACTGAAGCAACATCCTCCACAACTAGACTGAAGAACAAAAAGGACAGCAACTTGTCTGTTCTCCTTCCCCCAATTCCCCAGTGCTGTTCCCATCTCCCAATTCCCCAATAAAAATCTTTTTAAAAAAATCATGGAATTTCGTGAACCATCGTTGGCACTGACATTCTTGTAGAGCATTGTCACCATAAACTTTATGCAACTTCACAAGCTTGATGCATGTTCTCCCCTTGATGGAAGTAAAACAGTAAAACATGGCAAAAGTTTCATTTTCCATCTTCAACTTGTAAAATCTCCAAAACTCAACAAAATTGCTCAATTTTTTTTTTAGAATGAAGCTAGAACTGTTAGCTGTCAGATGACAGCAATACCATAGATGCGAATGACTAGTACTTGCAAAAATGAACTAGTGCCATCTGTTGCAAACATGCGTCATGACTTTTCCAAAGACCCAATGTACTTCAGGAGATGGAATTTTGCCAACACCTGAATGGGTAGGAAACGGACGGCCCTAGAGCCTATAGAAAGGAATACAGCCTGCCAATACCTTGGTTTTAGTCTGGAGACACCTGTACTGGGCTATAGAACTGTAAGATATTTCATGTATGTTTTTGAAGCCACTGAGTTTGTGTTAATTGGTTATGGCAGCAGCAGAAAAACAATATAGCACCCAAGTAGATGACCTGGGTTTTTCCTAATCCTATTGTATAAAAGAAGCCCTACTTCCTCCTGCTGTTCAGTCAGTTATCCTGCAAAAGGGGCCTCCTTTCCTACTAGTTCTTAGACACAGTTTAAAGTGGTGTGGTGCCAGCTGTAACAGCTCAGACTGGATCCTTGTTATGTCTCCTGGCAAAGAGTGCACCCCTCTTTGGGACCAGGACCTTGCAGAGCCTAAAGTTGTATGGGAGTACCCCAGTGGGTCACTGGGTATGATAAAACGGCTACTCTGCTTCCATCCCTTTGACCAGAACCCATTTATTCCCAGTGGAATGTAGCACTTTATATAGAGATCTCTGATTTAGGGCATGGTAGGATGGCGCCTTGTTGAGTATTTCCTCCAAGCTGGTGTTTCAACTACTTTCACTAGGCGGTTCCAGGGCTCCCTGAGGCCAACCGCTTCTGGGTGCTGTGGTATGTGATATGACCATTGGGTCCCTCCTTTGCTGTGCAATGAATTCAGTGGTCAGGTGCCATGTTGTGTGAAATTTCATGCCTGTGGTTCTGGCTAGGGTTCTGTGAGCAGGAGAGGCGAAACCTGTACCTGAAATACATATCCCTGTGAGGAGGTATTTGCTCGCTCTTCTAGGATGGAAGGGGCCCAATACATTCTACTTAATACCAAGAAGATGATTGGTATAGCTGAGGAATAGTGCTATATCAGGGGCTGAGCATTTAAACTTCCTTGAAGTTCAACTCATTAAGTCCTTAGCCTGCTCCTCAGATGTGTCTGCTCTTATGCTGCAGATGATAAGGGCCTCTTTTTAAGGAACCCCTCTGGCTCTCCTACTTACCCTTTAGCTATTCTTTTTAAATTTAGCTGTACGTGACATCCCCAGAATTTACTAATCTTATAACTGGACGTTTGCAGTTTTTGGTTACCTTCATCCTGGCTCTGATTACCTTCACCCTGACATTCACCAATTTGTTCTCTGTTTCTATGAGTTTGGTATTTTTTTTTTAGATTCCACGTATACATGAGATTATATAGTATTTGTCTTTCTCTAACTCATTTCACTTAGCAAAATGCCCTCAAAGGTCCATCCATGCCATTGCAAATGGTGGGATTTTCCAGGAAGACTTGTGAACAGTAAGTATGTGGCTGGGGTAAAGAGAGCTTGATGCCTTCGGATTCCAGCAACCAGAGATGGCGTAATGGGCAAGAGGCCATAGCCTTAATTTTCTTGGACATCTAGCTCAAAATTTCCTTTAGTAGTGACAGTATTTTCTCAATTTCATTTTTCTTAATCCTTTGGGGTCCCCAACTGGTGCAGCTGCCTAGATCCCACAGCCTGCAATAATTGGCCACCCTGGTTTTACAAACAGGTCACCAGGACTGTCGTCATTCTGTTATCAGGCCGTACCACCTGGCCTCACTGTTGAGCCCCTGGGATGATTTCATTTGAGGAGTGTATTTAACCAACTTTTTCTCAGACCTAGTCTGCTTGGTTCCAACACATTCTATCTGTGTTTCACAGCGTAGTGAATAGCGTATCATCCACCAAATGACCAAACTGGAAGCCTAGCAGTTATTCCTCTCTTCTACTCCCACATTCAATTGATCACTATCACAGCTCTTCCTCCAAAAAAACAAAACCTCAAGTTTAATTTTTAGGACAGATGTTTTATTTGATTCAGCAGCTCTGAGGTGAACAACTTCAGTGTCCTGCTTTGTTTCTCAATTTTTATTTATTAAAACTTAGCACCTGGTTAGAATCATAGATGTGTGTCTGTTTCTTGCTCTTCTAAAACCACAGAGAGCTCAGACAAAAGCTAACAAAAGCAGCCATATGGATAGCCAGTTGATTTGCCACCATTTATTAAAAATACCTTCTTTTCTCCAACTGCAGTACAGTGCTATCTTTGTCCTACTGGTTGACCATATTTGTGACGGTTACATTTTGTCCCACTAATCTGTTTGCCTATCTTTATGTCAATAGCACACTATCATAACTTCTATAGACTATACCTATAATATGTCTGGCTACCTGGCAGGGTGAGTCTTCCAGTTTGGTTTTTCTTTGCATTGCCTGGGCTCTTCTTCAGTTGATTTAAAAAGAATTAAGAATAATGTTGCATTTTCAGGGATGAATACAAATTCCTGCATCCAAAGTTCTGTCCAAAGAAATGCTCCAAAGGAGGGGGGGGGGATTTTTACCTTATAAATGAAGAACTAGGATTTACAAAAAAGTATGTATGCACTCTGATTATTGGTTTTATGTAGGGAGAAGGAAGGAGCTACATTAGATTTTGATTAAAGGTCCACTTGTATTAGTTACCTATTGGATTATTCTTGGTGGGGTCTTTAGATTTTCTCCTTGGGATTGTAATATGACAAAGGGCAGGCCCCCATCTAAATCCCTTTCCTGGGCAACTAATCACAAAGTAAGGGCTCAGTAAAAATTTTAACTAAATATGCAAATCCATCAAGGGAGGTACAGAATTTGAGTCCTTATAATAGAGTCTCGCTAGTAATCTAAGTGGAGGTAGGATTTATGGTGGAGAGTGAAAGGGGCAACTGGGAGGTTACAGGGGTAAGGAAGAGTATTAGCCAGGTTTTATTTTACTGTGTCATAAACCACCCCAAAACTCAGTGGCTTACAACAGCATTTATTTTTCTTGCTCCTTGGTCTGGTGGAGTGAAGGGGGCGGGGGACTCTAGTAGGAGTCAGGATTTGGGCTGGGTTCAAGTCTGTTCCACATGTTTCATTCTGGAGCCCAAGTGGGGGTGGGGGGACAGTGGGTACTGGGGGCACGCTCTCTTCTGGCAATCACAGGAGCACCAGAGGCCAAACAAAACCATGCAAGCACATTTGTGTCTACTTTGTCACATCTGCTAACATTCCATTGGCAAAGCAAGTTACATGGCCAAGCTCAGCATCCATGTGGGGAAATAACACCCTGTCCACTGTAGTGCTCGGAAGATCACATGACAGAGGACGGGGGTAGGAATTGGGAATAATAATAATTCACTCTACCACAGGAAGGGACAGGGTTCTTAGTTGTGAGAACTTGCCTTGCTAACCTCCAGAGAACTTGCTCCAGAAAAACCAGTGTGTGTGTGTGTGTGGGGGAATTAGCCCTGATAAGGAGCTGTGTTATGCTGGTGCCAGAATACAAGTTGGCCTTTATTTCTTATTTACTTTACCCTCCTGTTCCTCCACTCCTTCTACCTGCGAACCTCCCACTGGGGCTCAGCTATGGTAATGCCAACCAGATAAGGAAAGGAGTCCAGCCAGCAGTTGTAGGAGCAGCAGCAGGAATGACAATACCCCTTCAGAGCTCTAGCTACCTGGAATGTGGCCGCTGCAGGAGCAAGGCAGTGATAGTGGCCATCAGAGAGGGAGACCTCAGTGCTTTGCTTTCTGTAACATACATAGTGTGGTTGAATAAGACCTAGTCTCTGAAAGTACTTTGTAAACTGTTACAAGATACTGTATCAGGAGATTAAATAGGAAACTGTTTTAGTTTCAGCTGAGGTCTCCAGACAATAGATGCCACATTTCAAAGTGAAATGCAAGACCACAAATATTTACAAAATGAGACTGGAAATATGTTTGCATCTTTAGTTGATCTTCCATTGTCTGTCTATAAAAGATGTTGGAGAGGTCAGGAAAAGAGCTGGAGATAGGAGGACTCCTTGGACAGTTGGTGTACTTTCATTACCTGAGGGTGACCATAGAAGTCATGGTACTTGTCTGAGTTTTATCCAGAGGCAGGAGAATCTACCCCACGGAATAAATTGAGAGGGATGGTAGGACACAAAAAGACTTACATGGCTATATCCCATGAGTCATACTTGTTCAATGAAACATTTACACTACTGGAATGGGATTAAGATTCACTTTATTAAGTGATTTGTTAATTAGTATGGCAGAACTTGCTAATTGTCCACCAAGTTCCATTCTCCCCTTTTGCCATAGTAATAATGTAATAGGACACATAGCTGCCTAGCTAGGCACTACCTTTCCCAGGCCCCCTTGCAGCTAGGAATGGCAATTACATTCTATATTGAGTATAAATGGAAGTGACATGTGCCTCTTCTATGTTTTTGGGCCTTAAAACATTGCATATGTGTTCCTGCACACTTATTCCCCTTCCTGCAAATAGAAGCATAGAGTGCCTTCAATCCAGCTTTGTCCAGGTAGGTGAGGACAATACCCCAAGGTAGTACTTCTCAAATGTTTCTGTGCATAAAGATCACCAGTAGAGCTCATTAAAACAAGGATTCAGTAGGTCTTCAGTGGGTCCAAGAATTTGCCTTTCTAGCTCCCAAGTGCTGCTGCTGCTGCTGCTGCTCCCTGAGCCATACTTTAGCACTACTGTGGAGGATGATGGACATGCAAGATGGAAAGAATCTGGGTTTTTGAATGTCTGTGCAGGATAAAGTAGCCTGCCTACCTATCTTGGGCTATTTTGTGAGAGCACCAAATTGTATAGCAGCTTAGTCATGTACCCTAGCCAATATAATCCTGATATTCTGCCAATCCTTCCTCATATCTAAACCAAGCCTCTTCCATAATTTTCTTCTGTTTCATCTTGAACTTTCTTGGTGATGGAGAATAATATTAACCGCCTCTACTAAATGAGTTTCATAAGAGTCAGCATCAGGAATGCTATGTTCAGCTATCAGTTTTAGCCCAGACTGGGTAACCCATAAGAAGTTCTCAGGCAAGGAATTGCCTTAAACTTTCTTTCCAGAGGCGATATGTGAATCTTCAGTGGTGGGCTTGGACAGAACAGGATTTCTAGCGGTTTATATCATGTAGCGTCTCCATCATGACCCACCCTTTAAACATGCTACTTGGGACAGCTGAATTTTGAGTAATTTTTATTTTAGAGGCAGAGATGGGGGAAGATTCAGAGCTTCCAAGAACCCTGAGGTATTTCCCTGCCTTCTGGGCCACATTCTCCAGGAGCCACATTCAAGGACAGTCTCATAGCCGACAGTCAGCCAGGTATCTGGACAAATCCTTGTTTTTGCAGTGATCTTCCCAGCCCCTCCTAAGGGATAGAGAAGTAAAACAGATCAGAGGCAGGGGCAGGAGTCTATAAAGGGCTCCTCTGAGAGGGAATGTGGGGCCTGCAGGTTGGAGTCCATTTATGCTGTGGGAGAGTCCCAGATAGGGGAGGCTTGCCCATCTAAGACACACGTGGGGGTGTGTGGTAGTGCTGCTGGGGTGAAAATGGCACAATATTTTTCTGCCTCATTTCCCATCATGAGGACAGTCTCGACTACCTACGAAGTCCAGGGAAAATCCTACAGCATAGATGCTGCTTACAGCAGCATCTGAAGGTACAGTCCGGGCCCATCCCTGGCAGAGTGGCTGGTCCCCTTACCATGCAGACATCCTGTTAGGATCTTTTACAACCCTCTTGGCACAGAGGATGTCATCATTGATGTCATCATCCCGAAATTCTGGAAGGAAAAGTGGTTGAGTGGGGAGGGGAAAATCCCTTTTCCTGTTTTAACAGCCAATCATTTTTTGAAGGGAATTCCCAGAGGAAACTGAGCCTTACGATTTAGAATGCTTTGTCTCTGGAGCCCTTCTGTGGGTTTGCCTTTCATTTTGCCTGGGTTTTTGTGCCTTTGCTAAGAATTTGTCTTTAAGCCCAGTTCCCTCCAGAGAGGCATCCAGGACCTGATGGACCAGGGGGAGAGCCCTTGTTTTCAGGCAGCTACTCAGTGTGTCCTGAGTGCTGTGTGTGGGTGTGTGGGTGTGTGAAATGATGATGCAGTGGTGAGTGTACCAGGAACAGGATAACAGTCTTGAGGGAGGGGGACCCATGAAGGTGAGTCAAGGGTCAGTGTATCTCTCTTCCTCCTTTTTGGAAGGAGCATCTCTGGGGAGCCTTGTTTTAGTGTGAGGACTGCTTAGGGCCCTGTTATTCTGTATACTCAGCCTCCTCAGCACATGCTGAGGGTCTGGTGTTCGAGAGCAGTGCATTCAATTTGGCACGTATTTTACCCGGCCCCGCTCCACCCAGCCCTGAGAGGGGATAGAGTTCTTACTGTTGCACATTATGTTGCAGGCATTTTTTGAGCTACGCGTGTTGTCTTTGCACCACCACTTGTTGTTTATCTGGAAGATCCCATAGTCACTAGTGCCATCGGAATTTTTTCCATTAAAGGCCTCAGTGTTGAATCCACTCTCATGCTCAGCCATGCAGACCCCTGTGTCCGAGAGAGCAAAAAGTGGATAAAAAAAGGAGTGTGCTCCATAATGAGATATTCTTACAACTTGTGCTATACTAGAGCTACCAGAAATGAAAGCATTAAGACTGAAACACAAAGACTGTGAGATACCCAGTGTTAGAGGTCATTTATAATCCATGTGTATTCCCAGGCCTAAGCAATAATTAGCCCATGGTAAGTGTGTAATAACAATTTGTTAAGTAAGTGCAATTGGAATGCCCAACCACCAACAAGCCACAGTCTGTTTCCCACGCTACCTTTTCAGCTTCATTTCCCAGCCAGATATCCAACTCCTGCTGTGCATTTGCACTTTTGCTCCCTATCTCAAGGTATATGCAAAAGAAGAGGTGGAGAGGCAGTGGAAGAAAATCCTAGGAAGGAATTCCAGAAAACCCATCTTTGGGGGTAATAAGAAAGAGGTTTGGCATGGAGAAAAATGAAGACACGCAAGGGAAGTTAAAAGTTTCGTGTGTGCCTACTGTGTGGTGGGTGACTCTCGGCCCTTGCACCCTTGTCATTGCCTCATCTTCTGTTCTCACAAGCCCCATCTAACTCCCCTGTACACTAGTAAACACTCTTTAGACAGACTTCGTAGGTGTGGGTTATTTTTTGGCAGACAAAAGAGCAAGGGAGTGGGTAGGTGGGAGGCAGCACCTATTGTGCTGCCGAGACCTGGACTTAAAAGGGTGCAGGTGAAAGCAAAGGTGATGGCACTAAACCTGGAAGCAGTTAGGTTAGTCTTAGGGCATGTCCAAGGAAACATTCCAGGCCATTGGGTGGGAAGGTGATGTGGGGGAGAAGCAGAAGAAAATGTATTATAGATAAGAAAATCCCTGGTGGAAAGAGAAAAGGAGAACCAGTTAGGAGTTACAGGGCAGAGGCGCCAGAGACAAGAAGAACAGGCTGGGAAGTGTGAGAGCCCTGACAAGAGAGGACATCATGAAATAAAAAGGGAAAGATTCCTGGGTTGGGGAAGAGGGCATCTTTGGGCAGAGACAGAAATGACAGATGATAGTTCATACTCACAATTTGCCAGGCTGTAGTCATAGAAGCCATCCATCCCGTGGGCCTTCAGCTTGCGGGCCAGCTCACACTTGGAGAAGACTTTGGCATTGTAAGCTGCAAAGAAGCAGCTGAGGATGGGGATGATCAGAATCGACCTCATTTTTGCAGCTGGTGGAAACCAAAGCCTGGTGTATCCAAGACATTGTTGTCTTTTATACGTTTTGGGCACAGGTGTGTCTGACAGGGCAGTTATGCTGGGATTTGTGCCAGGAAACAGGATTTAGCTAATTCCCCAAACTGGTCCTGCCAGTGTGAACTTCAAGGAAGGGGATATAATGAAGAATGTTACCAGGAATAAAGTCTCAGTTGGCAGGGACAGTCCTGGACTTGGGCGAATGCACGGAGTGGGAGAAATGGGGGAGAGAAGGGAGTTGGTAGGAGAAAGAAATGTGATTTTCAAGGCTTGTACTTTTGTTGGACTGTCCCCAAAGGGGGTTGTCCTTGTATGCTGTGCTAAACTTTGGCTCATTATCTGTGCTTGGTTGAAGGTATTTTCCCATTCAGTCTAGTGGGAGGTCCATGATGGGCATCACTGAGTTTGGAGAGATTGAGGCTCTTTTGATATTTGCAATCAGTAAATCATTGGTTGAACAGGAGACCGCTAGAGAGACTAAGTTCATAATATCTCTGCATCTAAAAGAAGTTATCAGATCTATACTCCAAACTATACTTGAATTCTCTCTAAGATCTGTGGTCACTGATGCATATATGTATATTTATCACAGATACACACATTTATGTGTTTATATTTACTTATTAAAAGTAATTGACTCATGCGATTATGGAGACTGAGAAGTGCAGACTCAGGAGAGCCAACTGTGTAGGTTCCAGTACAAATCTGAGCCTGAGAACCAAGAGAGCTGAGGGTGTCAGTTTCAGCCTGAGCCTGAGTCTGAAGACCAAGCTCAAAGACAGTCAGAATTCTTTCTTACTCAGCCTTTTATTTTATTCAGGCTTTCAATGAATTGGATGAGGCCCAACAACATTGGGACAGGCAATCTGCTTTCTTCAGTCTACTAATTCAAATGTTAATCCCATCCAGAAACACTCATAGAGATACAACCAGAAATAATGTTTCACCAAATATCTGGGCACCCCATGGCCTAGTCAAGTTGACACATAAAATGAACGATCACCCATCTGTGGAGATGGTACTGTGATAAGAACTGTATGACATCCTGAGGCCCACCATTCCATTCTCTGAAATGTCTCTTCATTATTTTTCTTGCCCATTCATTCAATACTTATTGGGCATGTGCTGAATGTCAGGTATGGTGTTAAAACATTTCATATATTGAGGCAGAGAATGCCTCTTTATATCCTCTCTCTGTCGGTCTCAGGCTACAAGTTTCTCTTCCACATAATCATAATTATTTAGAATCAACTGTGAGTCAGGTAAGGTATTAAGCACATTGCATTTATTTTTATTTATTTATTTTATTTATTTAAGATTTTATTGGGGAATTGGGGAAGGGGAACAGTGTTGGGGAGTTGGGGAAGTGGAACAACCAAGTTGTTGTCCTTCAATCATAGTTGTGGAGGGCACAGCTAGTTCAGCTCCAAGTCCATTGCCATCCAGCCGCCCGTTGGCAGCTTGTGGCCTCTCAGCTCAAGGTGCCGTGTTTGATCCTAGTTGTGGGTGGGCGTAGCCCACCATCCCATATGGGAGTCAAACCGGAAACCTTGTTGCTAAGAGCACATGCTCTAACCACTGAGCAATCCTGCCACCTGTTGGCAGCTCAGCAGCAGCTCAGCTCAGGTGCAGCTCACTGGCCCATGTGGGAATCTAACCAGCGACCCTGTTGCTCAGAGCTCTCACTCTTAACCAACTGAGCCACTCAGCCGGCCCACATTGCCTCTTTTTAAACCATTTAAACCACATACCAACCCTATGAGGAGGAACTGATGTATATTTTTATATATGTTGAATACATTTATGGATGAGGAACTAAAACTCCTAAGGGGTTAATTAACTTTCTGTAGGTTTGCAAATAAATGATGGAGTTGGAATTTGAACCAAAGAAGACTGAGTCTGGAGATCACTCTTTCAGTCACTTTTCAAAGTACTTCCAACAACACTGATCTTCATGTTCCTAAAAGATTACCATCATGCTGCCACCCCAAGTATTTATTTCTAGCCACAATTTCTTGTTCGACAAAAGTTTCTTCCTCTCTTGTTCATCTCCAGTTTAGATTGTCAATATTCTTAAATATAGGGTCTAAAGATAAATGAAAAATACATCAAAATCTCTATGATTCCTGATAATTTTGAGCTTTAGGGAAGAAAGTGAAATAATCCAACGCAGAAGAAATTTTAGGAAGATCTGAAATGACTCTAAGAGGGTGCAGATAAATGGCCCACAAGATTGGGTACTAGCAAATATAAGGAGAAATTCCACAATTTGTGATAATAAATTGACTTTTAGTAGCTTGAACTATCCTTTTATCCCAGGGATCACGGTGCATGATCTTTTTATATTTTTTTATTGGGTAACAGTGTTTTTTTTCCAGGACCCATCAGCTCCAAGTCAAGTCATTGTCTTTAATCTAGTTGTGGAGGGTGCAGCTCACTGGCCCATGTGGTAATTGAACCAGCAACTTTGTTGTTCAGAGAACACGCTCTAACCAACTGAGCCACCTGGCTTCCTGTGCATGATATTTTTAATGTGCTGTTTAATTTGTCTTGCTAGTATTTTGTTGAGCATTTTTTACATCTATATTTATTAAGAATATTGGCCTGTAGTTTTCTTTATTTTAAGATTTTTTATTGGGGAATTGGGGGGATGGGAACAGTGCTGGGGAATTGGGGAAAGGGGAACAGACAAGTTGCTGTCCTTTTGTTCTTCAGTCTAGTTGTGGAGGATGTTGCTTCACTGGCCCAAGTTGGCACCATCATTGCGCTCTTCTCTGGCGAGGCAGATCAGTCGCCGGCTTCTGGACGGCCGCTCACTGCGGCTGCTGGCCGCTCACGCTGGCTGCTGGCTGCTCACGGTAGCCCATGGCAACCCACTGCCACAGGGACTGCAGCCTACGCCGTCGCCGGCGACTAATGGCAGCCCAGCTCCAGGTTGAGCTGTTGTTCAGCATCTTAGCTGTGGAGGGCAGTGTTCACTGGCCCTCATATGTGGGATCCGAACCGGGGCCCTCTGGCATCCCAAGCGAGTTCTTAACCATCGCGCCACTCGGCCGGCCCCTGGCCTGTAGTTTTCTTATCTGTCATATGCCTATATGGCTCTGTTATCAGGATAATGCTGGCCTCATAAAAAGAGTTTGGGAGTATTCTTTTCAATTTAGAAAGAGGTTAACTAACTCATCTTTAAAGAATTGGTAGAATTTTTCCTTGAATACATCTGGTCCTGGGCTTTTTATTTGTTGGGAGGTTTTTGATTAATGATTCAATCTTTTTCTTTTTTTAAGATTTTTTTTTTAAATTGGGAAATTGGGGAGATGGGAACAGAGCTGGGGAATTGGGGGAAGGGGAACAGATAAGTTGCTGTCCTTTTTGTTCTTCAGTCTAGTTGTGGAGGACGTTGCTTCAGTGGCCCAAGTTGGCACCATCATTGCGCTCTTCCCGGGCGAGGCAGATCAGTCGCCGGCTTCTGGATGGCTGCTCACTGCAGCTGCTGGCTGCTCACGCTGGCTGCTGGCTACACACGGTAGATGGCAACCCACTGCCACACGGGCTGCAGCCTATGCCGTCGCTGGTGACTCACGGCAGCCCAGCTCCAGGTTGAGCTATTATTCAGCATCTTAGCTGTAGAGGGCAGTCACTGGCCCTCATATGTGGGATCTGAACCGGGGCCCTCTGGTGTCCCAAGCCAGCTCTTAACCAACACACCACTCGGCCGGCCCAGATGTTTCTTTTTTCTTAATGTAGGCATTTATCACTAAAAACTTCCTTCAAGAACTGCTTTTGCTACATTCCATAAGTTTTGGTATGTTGTATTTTCAGTTTTGTTTTTTTTATTCCCTTTTTGATTTCTTCTTTGACCCGTTGTTTGTTCATGAACATGTTGTTTAATCTCTGCCTATTTGTGAATTTTCCAGTTTTCTTCTTGGTATAGATTTCTTGTTTTATATCTTATAGTCAGAAAAGATACTTGATATGAAATCAATCTTTTTTAATTTGTTAGTGATATGTACCAAATGAAAGGGCTTCTCACTATAGAAGCTCTAAGTTTTCTTTTTTCTAATGTTTTGGCTCCATAGCCCCTGGTTATAATCTTTTTTTTTTTTTTTAAGAATTTACTGTGGAATTGGGGGAGGGGAACAGCACTGGGGAAATCAGGGAAGGGAAAAAGACAAGTTGCTGTCCTTTTGTTCTTCAGTCTAGTTGTGGAGGACGTCGCTTCACTGGCCCATGTTGGTATTATCGTTGCGTTCTTTCCAGGAGAGGCAGTCGCTCGCCGGCCATTGGATGGTGGCTCATGGCGTCTCTTGGCAGTTCATACTGGCTGCCAGCCGCTCACGCTAGCTGCCAGCCACTCACGGTAGCTCATGGCAGCCCACTGCAGCCTACGAAGTCGCTGGCGACTCACGGCACCCCAGCTTCAGGTCAAGCTGTTGTTCACCATCTTAGCTGTAGAGGGCACAGCGTCACTGGTCCTCATGTAGGATCTGAACCGGGGTCCTGCTGCTCAGAGCTGGCGTCCCAAGCCAACTCTTAACCAATGCGCCACTTGGCTGGCCCTATAATCATTTTAAAAATCAGTTTCTTAATGATAAATAATAGATTGTTTTTAACCTGAATCTTAGAGAAATCTCCTACCCCCTGCTTTAGGTAATCACCCTAAAGCTTGTGATTAATGTCTGTTGATAATGGACATTGTAGCACAGCATTCTTTCCAGGCCTAACTCCAGGATAAACAATAACTGAATAAGTGGTTAAACCAGAATGCCATAGGCTCCATGAAGCGGAACAAATTTCATCACACAGTCACCCTCTGTCAAGGGCTTTGAATCCTGCTTCTTGGGCCAACACTTTTAACTCTATTAACTAAAATCTATCTCTCCTTATCTAGGGGCTGTTGGGATATAAGTGATGCCCCACCAAGACTTCCAGTACATCCCAATCACAGAGGTCAATATGGTCCTCTAGGCGGATCTCGAGAACCCTTCCCCTCATCTGAGATCAGATAGGGCGAGAGTCCCATGAATCCCCAATAGGTCGGGACAATGGCCACATTTAGCAGAGTGCAGATACAGAAGAGATCTCCTGTCCCTCAACTTCCAATAGAGATTTATGGGGATCACATCTGTCAAGGGGGACATAAGGCAGGCAGTTAGAGACAAGAATTGGGTCTCCGAGATGCCTGGATGTGACAGGTAACATTCCTGTACATCCAACATAGTCTATGGGAAATAACCACCCAAAAGACTTTCCCTTTGTGCCCAAACTTGTCCTTCCTTGTTTACCATAACCACTAGCCATCATCAATCACAGGCATCAATCAAGCAAGCCCATAATCAGATGAATAGCCCATTCTAGAAAAGAAGGAAATAAAAACTCCAAGTTCTCATCAGTCAGCGCCTTTTGAGCCACTCCTTTGTCCTCGGGCCTGCTCCTATCTCTTTGGAGTGTAGTTTCACTTCTAATAAACTACTC